TTATTTTATAGCTTGACTTTAATCATGTCAAAAATCGCACAAATGAAGAAAATAAAAGCAACTCACTCTTGTTAAAATATAAGAACTGAGGGGAGAGGTCATTCGCACAGCCTAGTCTACTTCGCTACCATCCATCTTATGTTGAAAACTAGGAAGAACCATGGAAATGCTTGATTTGTGCAGAAATATACAAACTGCTGCATCTGGTAATTTATCTGACCCACATTCTATAGTCAGTCTCTGTACCACCTGCAGCAGTCTCACTGGGAACGACGGCATTGCCACTGCAGGCCACGGGGCCTCGTTTGTTCATCAATTGGTTTCCCATTTGAAGTCTGTGAGTAGGAAGAAGGAAACCTACTCCATGAAATCCTCTGCCAACTAATTGGTAAAGGGCCAATGGTAAAATTATTTTATGTCAATACATTTGAAAAATTCCCCACAACACAAAAACAAACATAAAATATAAATACTTGAGGAGCAAATCCAATATCTCACAAAACACCGATACTGAGACAGTTTTGGGAACTGCTGTTTCTAAGGCGCAAATGTTCTGCATTTAAAGGAACAACCTATAAGAATGAGGTCAGAATGAAATATCTATAACTTCTCTTTCTTAAATATTTAGTTTTGATTAGGAGGTGACAGATTTTGAGCACTTTAGATAGAAGGTGTAAAAGTTAGGCTTAATAGTTAATGGTTATACATCTTTCATTCATGGACTATCCAGGTGGTGGTATTTTATTATCATAGTTGTGAAAAATTAAATATTTTTATCTCTCACTGTCTTAAAGTATAGTAGTAGCTTGCTAAGCACTGCTTTTAAATTATAGCATCACTATATTATGCCACATTATTACTTTATATCTGGTAATATACGATACCACATTATGTTGCATTGCTACATTATGTTGATACCTTTCTGTTCTTCCCGACTCTCTTTTACTACATTATCTGATGAACTGACTCTAGTTTCCTATTTCAGCTTTCAGTGCAAAATGTTATATAATAATAAAGCTACATTTATTACTATAATTGATGCATTATTTCTTTGAGAAAAAAATTTTAATTTGAAGCAAACTATGCCACCCAAAACTACTAATATTTCAAAAATTAGTTGAATATTATATTTTATTTTGTTACTATGAGCAATGAAAGGTACCATCATTGTTACATTTCAGTAACCCAGCATACTTATAAGAATTGATTTTACATGTGATCACGTTTAAATCTTATTAAAAAAGGGGTCAAAATTTAATGTGTTTTAAATTACAAGAGACTGAATAAATCTAAAAATTGGCTTTCTGTTCCAAAGTTTTGAACCTATTTTTTTTACTATGTTTCTTGTTATTTCCATGCTTATAAAATAGAAATTTTATTATGAAACTCACCATATTGATAGCATTCACTGGACCAATGCTATTCACATACATGTCTGTGTGAATTAATGTTGGTTTCACTGTAAAAGAACAATAAATATGTTGGCGTGCGGAGAGATACAATCGTGTTCTCTTAGTCTAGTTTCTAAGATAGACTTATTTAGCCACATTAGTACTGATTTATTTATAACTAGTTACTAACTAATTACATATGAATAACAATTATGTTTTCAAAGAAGTACCTCTTTTTAAGGTTATGGCTGCAATAAGAAGCATAGTGGCATCTTGAAACTGATTATCCTATAAAAACTAAGATGCAATTAAAAGACATTTTTCTGAGCTTTTGTTCACCCTTCTCTCATATTTGAAATTTCAACATTTTTCCTTCAAGATCTGGAATCTATTTGCATATCTTAACCTGACCTGACCCAAAGAGACAAAAAGAATACTTTGCTATTTAGGAAAAAGCTATGCACTAGAAAAATGAACTGGGCACAATAAAAAGTAGCATGAATTGTTTCTGAATCAGCGCTCCCTACTGATTTATGATCTGCATTTGTCCAACAAAAAAAAATCCATCTTCCTTAAAGACATCTCAGGTGATGTGGCTATACAGATAATATGAGGAAACTGTATGGAAGACCATTGTGTACCTGTTTGTTAGGCAGGACCATTATTAGACATCTGTAGCATGACTTTCATGAACAAATGCATGTGCTTCATTTTTGTCTGACAATGAACAAAGATTCTTCACATTTTGCTGGATCTAAATTCAACCATTACATTTGCCCTCATCTTTATTCATTTCCTTTGAAAGTACAATGCCTAAAACTATCTGTGAGAGACTGGATTCTTCATGAATAATAACACCTGCACCCTTACCTCTTCCTCGGTGAGGTTCTCTGCCTTTAGATACTGGGTTTCACTAGATTTGCTTTGGCTAGTAATACACGGATAAGAGTGAGCAAGCCAGGTCTAAATCCATGCCGTAAGCCTTTGGAGTTTCTGTTTTGTTTCGCTGTCTTCTGCTGTCATGGAGGACGCCTCTAGCTAGTGTTCAGGCTCCAGAACAAGAATTCGAGGTACTTAGAATGCGGCTCCTCTAAGTAAGCAGCCCAGCTTTGCTCGGGTTAGTTTAGCTCAGCTCCCAGTCAAGTGAATACTTACATAAAGTAAATTTTTAGTGTTGTAGCCACTTACATTTTGTGATTGTTTGCTTGCTATGTAGCAATGCATAGCCACTATTAATTCTACATTCTTTTTTTTTTTTTTCATTTTCGAACTTGCACCATAAAATTTCTCTTGACTTTGTTTGGAATAGCTCAGGAAATTTTAAGTTTTAGCTCTGAGCCTCACTTGAAAATCATTTATTTTCCATGTTGAATTTAGCAGAACTAATACTACCTCCGAGGTGGAAATCTGTTTTATACATTTCATTAATGTCATATTATCTAGTAGAAATATAATTTAAATTCTGGCTCTAAAATTATGCAAACATTTTGTCCTACCAAGGTGAATAAGGTGGACGCTGTCCTGTGTTCCTCTCCATAGCACAGCGCGAATGCTTTAGCCTACCTCCTATATCGGGTCGAAGTTTATTGTCATAGCCTTCCAACAAGTTGTTTAGGATGACAGTGACATCACCCTCGGGAACTTTGGGAGTCAAGACCCATGTTTTGTTTGAAGCATAGTCTTCATAGTCATCATCAGACTTTTGGCTAGTGAAGCTAAAAAAAAAAGAAAGAAAAGAAAATATTGGCATAAAAACACACATTACATCAAACTTTATTTTACCACAACACATTGCCAGAAAACGAAAACTAAGGGGGATTATAGGCACATGTGCAGCAATACAAAATTACATTTGATGATTAATATAAGCAAGCATTAATTCCATAGCATCTGTAGTGAGTAGAACAGGCTGGGAAATGTTTCGATTTGTTCTCAAAGAGAATCTTCTCGTATCAGGAATAGAGACCACTATAGTCTAGAAGCATCCCTCTAGGACCCTGATTCATCTTTTCTCTCGAGCACTGCTAAACTCTACATAATAGGGCTTTAATCCTATGATCCAGACCTTAGTAGTATAAGGAAGATAATTCTGTATTGCAAGGAAATTTTCAAATTCTCTAATTCAGAAGAAAAAAATGGCTACTCCAACAGATATAGTTAATGCAAAAGTACATTTCAAACTGCCATTTTCAGTCTGTCTCTATGTCTTTCTCTCTGTGTCTGTGTCTGTGTTTATGTCTCTGTGTGTGTGTGTGTGTGTGTGTGTGTGTGCGTGTGTGTGTGCGTGTGCATGTGCATCTTTCTCATCTTTCAAATATATGTACCCAATTAAATTTTCCTTTGTAGAAAAGAATACAAATCATTGCTTGATTTTCTCTATCTACTTAAAGGACTTCCAATACTAACAAATAAATAAGGCAGATGTGATAGTGTTGTTTTACTGTTATTATTCCTTTCTGGTTAATAAGAAGAAAAACATACTGAGTTGAAAAGGTAAGGGATAAGGACTACTTTCTTCGAATTAAGGGCTTATTCTAGAATTGCACTATATTTTTCTGGATCAGTATTAGTCTAATTGATTACTTCAAATAAACATATTGTTGAGGAATTTTCTTCACATTTCGGAATGCTTACTTAGTCATAGGGAGGTAAACTAGAGCAAAGAAATTGAGAGGATGAGCATGGGAACGAGAAGTACTACCTTGCTTTCTGTATTGCAGTGTTTTGCCTGCTACTCAACTGTGTGTGGTCTTAAACATGTTCCTGTACCTTGCTAATTCCCAGAATTCTCATGTTAAAATAGAATTAATACCACTATTCACAATTTTTTGTAAATTATTAAGATGATCCTCATCAAGTGCTTAACAAACACGTGACATATAGTCTTGGAAATAGCTCCATTAAAGTCATTGCTGTGTATTAATCTCTACTAGATCTATAACAAAAGTTACAAATACGTAACCAAAACTAGAATCTATAGATTGCACTGCATGGATTTTGTTTAATGGCGGTTGAGAAGAACTAAAAGCAGATGTTTTCCAAGAAGAAAAATAATGAGCCCCTCTATTATAAATGATTTTCTTCTCTGAAGCTCTCCCTGCTGAGGTCTAAATTAAAGGGGCTGATGCATAATCTGGGATTGCTTCCAGATTTTTCTTTTAAAAAAAGATCTTCCCTCATTCAAGGTTGACTGCTTCTTTCTCTGAGACTCTTTGGTGGTAAAACCTTGTACTTATAGGCACACTATTCAGGAACAATAAAGTCTGACCATGAAGTTCTCTGTGCACTTGGGGACTCAGAAAGAATAACTGGGCAGGAACAAACTGACAATAAGTCAAGAAAGTTGATTTAGCTTTTGTGTGGGCTGAGAATGACACGAAGCTGAGCTTCTGATGAAAGCAGCTGACTGAATGCAGCAGCCAGGTGCAGGAGGGAGAGAGAGAGAGAGAGAGAGAGAGAGAGAGAGAGAGAGAG